CCAAAATAAAACGGGAAATAAATATTGAAGCAAGGACTCAGCATATGAACTTGACAGAAGGAAAACCATGAAGACGGAGGGCACAGAAAGGAAACACTAGGAAGTCTATCAGACCAAGGTCATCAGTAACTAAAGATTAAAGACACCAATACTAGGCCATAGAAAAACAATATTAGAGGAGCAAAACAAGAAGAAAACAAGGCACAAGAGCACACGGGAAGACAAAATATTTGAAATAAAGTGAAAATTGGCATTGATAAAATCAGGAATGTCTTGCAGGCTCATTTGTAGCGTCACATGAAATTGGCAGATTTACTGTTACAGTTTCTCTTTATTTGTTTCCTTTTATTGTAACTTTAGTCTGAGAGTTAAAATTGATTTGCTACAACCTGGTTCTCATCAATCAACATCTTCTAGTATAATGTTGTAGTTCTAATAATTACCATTTTCTTAAAACATGCACTTTCCTTGTGTTTTATTCACATATTGTCTTAAACCTTTTAGTTTTATACAAAAGAAAAAGATGTAAAAGAAAAATGAATTTCCCCTCTCTGCTCAGCATACAATAACGACAAGCGCTTTAACCTCTGTCCTTTAGATTGAGTATTTCGGGTGATGGATGTGGATGAGTCTCTCTGCATGAGTCATTTCACAATTTCTCCACATCCTCACATTAAAAACTAATTCAGCCCGTGTGACTGTTTCTCAAAATCAAAGGATTTGTCCTTATTGAACATGACTTTTAACTTTTCCTGAGAATGATTAAATGGTGACTCAGTGGCTCCGCATTGAATTTAAACATACAATTGAGCAATCATTCAAGTGTGAAATATGGACAAGTTACTGTCTTCAGTCCCGAGACTCGTTCCTTATGTTTGTCCTTAAATTTGAGCTGAATTTGGAAAAATGCGTTGAAATTTGGATGACTTCAAATGGCCTCTGATTATAACTGATTTATAATCCTGTACTGTACAAGGCTACCGGGACCTCACCTGGAGCCAGATCCGGGGTATGGCTTCAGGGTGAGGGTTTAGTGGCAGGGCTTTAGCCCACGGGGCCCAGATGGGCTTCTGTCAGTCCAGCACCCACAGGACGGGGCGCAGACATTTAGCAGGCAGTTCGATCCCTGGTTTCTGAATCTGTGTGTATCTGTGTACGTATTTAATTTATGCAACAACTATTGACTGTACTGTAGAAGAGTGTGTACTGCTGCACTCATATTTTCATATTTTCCTGCTTAAAGATAAATAACTTGTCAATAAATCTTTTAAATTGTTTTTGGAGCTGTCTACTTACTGTGATTGTAACATAGCTGTCTGTTATCTTCCCATTAACAAACCTGATAAACCGCTTAAGACACTCCTCAGCTTCCAAACAACAACATAAAAGTCAAGCATGAGAGAAAAAAGTTGCAGGGCACAGATCCCGATCCCTCTGGTTTGAACGTGGTTTATGATTTATGTGCAGAATGCTGCTGAGCACCCTCCGTTCTGCTGCAGAGCCCAGAGTTGCAGAACCAAAGTGAATTTCAAATCAAACCATTCCAAGAAGGCATCGCACGCTTTTGATAAAAATCCAGAGGAGGACAATAACACCACCCTGACAAGCCGTCAAGTTTAATCGTTACCTTTAACAAACCGCACCGATGACGGGTTTCGCTTCTCTATGTCACGTCTTCACCACTTCCTGGAGAAATGATGAGACACTTTCGAATTTAATTTGAATTGAGCACTGTGTAAATTGAAATGCATCTAGTCTGATGGATGAAGCCGAAATGTGAGGGGTTGGACGGAGTGTGAGGGATGATTAGATGTAGCTACAAGCTTTTGGCTGCCTCTTTTGTTTTTCTAATGGAGGTGATGTGAAGCCGAGGCTGGCGTGAAAACACTCTAACCGCGGCGTGATGAATGCACCATCAGTTTTAGAGCAATTGTCTTGAATTTGAAAACAATTTCAGTGTAATTTGGTGTCATTAACGCTAATCGAGATAGACCACTATGGGTGGATTTTAAGTGCCTATGCTTCACACGGAAAGTTTGAACAGAGGGGGAAGAAATCTGCAGAGAAAAAACTGGAACGAGGAAAGAGGGAAACAAACCAGGAGGCATAAATCCAGCCAAAATGCCGGCTGCATTAACAGACACTAAACCAGTAGTGGAGTGTTTGGTGCATAAAACAAATGCTGAATGATAAGCAGGCTGTACTTTCTCAAATAAAAAGCAAAGAACATTTTTATAGCTCCTATAAACCACACAGTCTCAAACGGTTACAAGAATAAAGATGAGAAGAGCAGAGGCGGTAAGTGGTGAAAGACGAGCTGGAGGGAGAGATGTTGGAAAGGTTGGAGACTTTTGGTTTCCAAAGGAGAGAAGAGATAAACACAGAAACACAACAGAGAACAAGGCCACAAAAGAAAAATATTACAAGGAAAATGTGGCAAAATGTGTGCCTGTCATCATCTCCATTTCTTATTTCTTATCCCCCTGAAGTTTCATCTCACGGCGCAGTTCGTATTCATTTTCTTTTATCGGGTTTTGGAAAATATTGATACCTTGCAGTGGTATTAGCACAAAGTCAGTGGCAAATATATCTCAACCCCCACAGTTCAGTTCAAAAATAATCCCTATTTGCCTTAAACTGGGTTCGGTGCAGCAACTCAGCTGCTTTATACAGTCCTCTAAGCCAGCTTTCTTCTGATTGGCTACCCTACACAAACAGAAGGTTTGAATGACAGATGAGTGGGTCTTATGCCTGAGATGACCACATTATTATCCACTCTGGCTTACATAATATGACCTTACCATCTAAAATTTTAGTCATGTTCAACATAAATATCCAGAAAATAATGAAAGTCACATTTTATGTGTTATAAACTTGTAACTATGTTTTGTTGTTACTTTGTATTAATCATGTTTTAATGCATCTGCATATGTTTACTTAAAGTTCAATCAATCAATCAATCAAAGCTTTATTCGCCACATGCAGGTTGCCCTGCAGTGAAATGGGACCCCCCCCGACCTTACACACACAACACAGACATTACATGGGG